CAATGGGTCTGGAATGAAGAAGAAATTCCCTACTTAAATAAAATACATATTAAAACCTGATGTACTCCCATAAACAATGCTAATGCCAGTGAAATATAGTCCATTATGCCAAGAGTGGGGGGTAAGTGGTGATCTTCAGCTGGGGCCCCCCTACAGCGCGTTCTCAGCAAGCTGGGGGCAGTCTGTTAACAGCTGAGTGGCCGTTCCATTACGCTTCTGAGGGCTGTCGCACTGTGCCTTGACCAGGTCTGCGTCAGACGCTGCTGGCCGCCTTACACTGCCAGTGTCGAGGCTCGGGTTGTTTGCATTCTGTAGATGAGCCTGTTGAGGTGGTCAGAGCGCCAGCCAGATGTGGAGGAGCTGAGCCCTGCTTTGAACTCGGCCCAGCCGTCCTGCCCCATCTGTGTGCTCTTGCCATTTTCCTCACAGGGAGCAAAGCCCTCATTTTGGGAGAAGCTTTATCTTTTCTTTCAAACATTTAATAAGTTTTTTGGCACATGATTTCTAGGAGCTTAAGAACTTGCTTGTAGTTCCTATGGCGTCTCATGTTCACGAAGTGCCAGTTGGGTATGGCACTTAAGTTTTACCTCATACATCTTGATATAGGTTATTGCACAAATGAAGATAGTTCCTTTGCAACTTTAATTAAAGTTTAGATGCAGATAAGAATTTAGCATGGAGAACTATATGCCTTAGGCTTATGAGTTTTGGAACCTCATTTAAAATGTTAAATGTAAGCAGGAGTGAGATTTTAATTATGTTACTGATAAGTAAAATGACTCTCTGATCTACCCCTCCCCTATGGTCTTTCATAGAAATGTTTTCTAAGTGCATTTTGTGGATTTTTTTCTGTGCCTAGCCAAACAGTGAGCCATGCCCCTAAACTGAAAGCCCAATGGCAGTTACCACTTTTACCAAGTTGACACATGTATTGCTCCAACTTGCTCAGTTTGTGGCTAGTACCCAGAGTGCATGGCTACCCCAAGACTGCAGTCAGATTATGCAGCCTGCCTGTTAATTCTTGCTGATTATGTTTGCTTCTTAATTACTTGCAGAGAAGTAAAGCTTTATGGTCTGTGGCATGATGAGCACTTTTCTAAATAAAGTTGCATTGACTGCAAACTGTCCATATGTCATGGTTACAGGCGGTCAACATGTGCTGCCCCCCCCCCAAGAAATGTGGCTTAAGGTTGTTATTCTTTTAAATTTGTTACAAAATTCACTTGAGCATAAGAGAAGACAAATATTTTATATGTAGTTAGTGGGAGGGAATCTCTGTTGTTTTTGTTATTAAAACAGTATCAGATGAACTGTTAAAGAATTGCTTCTTCCTAAAAATGTGGGCACTAAGCATGCATTCAAGTGCAGGTTAGATTGGTTTGGAGTAATTTCTGTTTGAAAGAATTTGTGCCAGTTCATTTTCCTCTCCGGGAGAAATGGTTGAAGCACGGGATGCTTGCCTAATGTCAATTCCATAAGGCTCCTCTTGTGTGTGTGTGGGGGGGGGGGGCGGGGAGGGTTTTCTGTTTGTTTGTTTTTGCCTCGCCTCCCTCCTTCCGCCTCTAACTGGACTTTGCTATGAGGAAGATGTGAACCTCTACATAATCAGGCATTTCTTTATTTTAGGGTTATTTGTCATTTGAGATAGCCGGGGACCCAAAGAACAGGCTTGACTGGGGGTGGAGGGAGAGACAAAGTTATATAAACTTCATTCATAGTTAAATATTTGCTTCCAGGGTAGGTGAAAAATGCTTTGTACTTTTTCCTTTGCTTTTTTTTCCTGCAAGAGAGCTTGTCCTGCAACAACAAAAAGTGGCTAAAGGTAGAGAAAACTCTTCTCTTTTCCATGCTGGCTTGTTTTTATTGTAAGACAAACCTTTCATGTTTTATTGTTATGAAGTTTAAACTTTGCCTAAAGGTGCCAGTCTTTAGTGGAAACAGCTGCAGAGTTGGTGTCCCGGGATCAGGTGGGAGTTTCTTTGAAGCAGCATGTTGCCTTTTAAAAGAAAATTGAGCATGTGAGAACTTGAACCTGTAAAACTCATCAGCTTTTCCACCATTGTTTATCTCTTAAATAACTAAGATAGCTAGCTAACTGTAAGTAAAACGTTGGGGTGTTAGAAATCATTTTGTGTTTTGTTTTTTAAAGAGAGTAGTCTTGTTATTTTGTGTCTTAAAACAAGGGAACAGAGGGGGGGGTAAAACCTTTTAAAAATGGAAAGTGTCACTGCCCAGTGATTGTGAAGATCACAGCACGTATTAGCTTTTCTTTAAAATTTCTTTTTGGCCTGGTCAATGTCTGTAGTTGAAGCAGAACTGGGTAGCTGGCTTTATACCTGAATTTCAGATCTAGAGAGGAAAGATTTTCTACTCTGCATTCCTTGATTCTGAGGCTTTTCTCACCTTTGTGGCTAAGCAATGCTGGTAGCGGGAGGCCTCAGCACCATTCTTGGGCATCAGAATGCTTTCACTCCTCAGGGGGTAGTGAGAGAGACAGGCATGGAGTCAGAGCGACAAGAAAAATGCCGAAATATTTTCCTTTTGGGCTTTTGATTTGATTGCCAAAAACTTGCCTTCCAGATGGAGAAGACCAAAAGCTCTGATTGTAAGCCATTATGTTTTTACTGGCCCACCTCCCCATCCCATTGCCTGGTTTGGATTGGTGAGCCAGTCCAAGTCCTTTACCTCATTTTCTAGTACCAATTTACTGTCTTACTCATCTCCCAGCTGTAAGGGGGTGAGGCACGTAACCTTGAGCGTGAACCCTGTGCCATTTCCTAAGCCAGGCAGCAGTAGAATCGTGCCAAGGAGTATCAGTCGCGATAGCTTCCATTTCTCTGAAGTTCTGGAATGATGCTGCCCAGGAAGACTTGTGTCTGTGACATGTGAGGTAGGAGTAGCCCAGGAATGAATCTGAACCAGTTCTCTTGGCCTTGTGTAGACTTGTTACCCTGGTTGCCTGGGCATTCTGGGCATGGGAAACAGAGTTTGGTTTTTGGCTACATCATACTTCACTGGCAGCAGAAATTTTGACACTCTGGTTTCCCTTGGGGAGGCAGGGACTGTTGAGTGCTTGAAACTCCAGGGGCATCCAGTGTCAGGACATAGAGGGCTAGTGGCTGTGGAGTCTTGGCAGCCAGAGGCCCAGTTCGCTGCCCTACCACCAACTAAACAGTAACCTGAACCAAGTTCTCATCTGGAAAATGGGGGGTTAATACTCTATTGGATGTTTTTTTGGTTCAAATGAGAATTGGTGGGTGGGTGTGGGGAGGGGGGAAATGTATACTCAGAAGACACTAAAATGTTAGTTCTTTTTCCCTCTCAGGATGGTAGTTTAACCATGTGGTCTACAAAGACTAGTTTTCCACTAGTTTTAACAAACGTTATGTGGAAATTGGGATGACATGAGTGATTTTCAGATTATTCTGCTCTAAATTGGGGCACCAAAGCAGCACCTAATACGGGACCTGTTGGACAGGCAAAGTAATGATTTTTAATTCAGACTCATTTGTATGGGCTCACCCATGGGAAATAAGTACACAACATAGTCAAGTAGGACAGGAGAGGATCACCAGAAGTCATCCGGATAAATGGCATAACCGCTCTTCAGGCCAACTTCAACTGGATTGTCACACAGGTGCAAAAAGAATTCCTTGAATCAAAAGAGGTGTGGATTAGCTTGCCTGTGATGACATTTTCTGTGTTTGCAGCTGAGAGATCACATTGTTGGCTGAGGAGCAGTTTGAATTTTCACACATTAGCCTGAAATCATGGTTAGACAGAAAAGAAGCCCTTGGAATTTCAACAGCACATATTTGAAAACCTTAAGGCAAGTGGGACTTTGTAGTTAGTTCTGAAGAAGTTGGTCAAGGGCTCTGCTGAACCATGAGGCAGATATTTAGTCAGAAGCATCAAATGCTCCAAAAGGCTGTCTGTCAAGTCTTAAAACAACAACAGATTTTGGCTCTCTGCCTTGGCATGTGTAGCTAACTTTTTTGAGGACCTGTATCACTACAGTGAGCAAGGAGGTGTTCCCCCCCCCCCACAGTGGTACCACAAATATTTTTAATGTCTATATTAATTTCAATACTTTATGAAAAAATACCATTCAAATTATGATTGTACCAATTTTAAATTGAGGCTTAATTTGTTAATTAGATCTCACATTGACTATTTCCAAAAACTGACTAAATGTGCAGGGTGACTTGTGACTTTTGCAGAAATTGAGATGGTAGCACCGAATTGACCAAGGCTTGAGACATACTAGTGAGAGTGTGGATTTAGTCTATTGATAAGGGCAGGACCTACCTACCATTCCAAGCTTAGATTCCTGTGAAATGAAATTTAAAATTTTTTTTTCTTCCAGACAATTAAAATAGGCTTCTGTTTTATTTTCTTTCTTTTATTTAAAAAATGGTGATTAAACATGTTCTGTGACCAAAATGAGGGGATGGATTTAATCTCCACATTTGGGGGGATAGCTTGATAGCACTGAAACTAACCCCTGCACCACCAGGGAGGTCCAGTCTGCATATTTGGGCCTCTTGGAGTTGTGTATTCCCTGTCTGGACATTCTGCCTTGTGTCTGATTTTGGGGATTGTGATGCATCATTCCACTCCATCTTTCTTAAAAAGTAGCCAGCACAGTCACGGGGCATCTGTTTTGATGTGGTATCCCTCCAGAAATAGTGCAGGAGAGCCCAGGGTGCTCGAGGCTATTTACAGGTGGTGCAGAGCGTCTCAAGAACTGTCTCTGGGCTTGTTCTCACCCCCAGGACTTGTCTAGACAGAATGGGAATGACGTTTTTATCCCCTGTTGTGAGCTTGGGGACGAAAGGTATCCCTTAAGCCTCTGATGGTAGGAAAGGCTAGAAATGAGAAAATGAACTGCATACCAATTTATGTGAAAGTGCTCTTGTTCACATTCATGAAACACTGGTTTTTGTCAGGTTACTGTTACAAGTTTTAACATGTTTGCGCCCCCCCCCCCTTTTTTGTAGGTACTGGATTTGGATTAGGACTTATTTTCTCCCTTACCTTCTTTAAAAGTAAGTGTGACTCTTACTACCTTATACCATAATGTCCTAGAAGAGTATGCACATACCTAGCAGGAACACTCCTGGAAGGCACATAGACACATAGCTGCCAGCCCCTCTTCTTGGGGCTTAGGCCAGACACTCTGAATGAGCGAGACAAAGAATGTGCACTCAAAAAAGGTCAGAGTGGGTTGGGCGTCTCTAGAATCCCCTCTGGGCATTAAGTCAGGATGCTCGATATCTTAAATATGATATCATTTTGAAAACTTGTGCTTACTGCCAGTGAGTCATTTGGCCAAATCTGTGTGCTCAAATACTTCTAATTAATTACAATTCTTAAAGAGACTAAAAAAATCAGAGTCCTGTTGGTTATAAAAACAAGTGGACCAGAAAGCACTTTTTTTTTCTTTTTGGCCAAAAACTCTCCTGAGCAATGGGCAAGCAATATTTTCATTCTGTGGAAGAACTTCTGAGGTTTTAATATTGAATAGTAGCTAAGGGGTTATTTTAAGGGGAATATAAACTAGAGACTCATGGTTAACACAATGCTGATATGAAGTGATCAGTGTAGACTTACATACCTTATGCTTCCTGTAAATCAAAATATGTAAATATTGGTGAAATCTTAAATTTTTTAAAAATTTAGTCACTTTACTGATAGGTAGTATCAGTACTTTTTTTAAAGATGTATTTATTTGTGCATACAGAACTGGGGTACAGGCCAGAGGTGCAGGGGTGGTGAGAGGATTCACCAGAGACAGAGTGGGGAGCAGAACAGGCAGATGGACGAAGTACACTGCTGAGGGAGCAGCGGGTAGATCAGGAGAGGTCTGCTGCGCCCTGTGGGTCACGTCCAGGGCAGGGATCGAACTCATGCTGAAGTGGCTTTAGCTTCTTAGTGCTGTGCTTTAACCTGCTGTGCCACCAGGGAGGGCCTGCCTGGTAGTGTTATTATTTTTTTTTTTTTTAAGTTAATTTTCCAATGGTATTTCTGTTGAGGTTCAATAAGCAAATAGAGACTGATCGAGAACTACAGAAAGGTTCAACTATGGCTGCTTTTTTCATATTGTACCACTTATTAATATTTCTATTTAACCATAGATACTTTATTATAAATATCTGACTATATAAGTTTACTAATTTAGCTCATTGTCATTCCTGTGGTGCATGTCGAGTATTGAACCCTGAGCAAATGTGTGTGTGTGTCAGAGAAAACACCGTCTTGTCTTAATGATTCCCTGTTGGGCTTCCCCACCTTGCCCATAGGACGAATGTGGCCATTAGCCTTTGGTTCTGGCATGGGACTGGGGATGGCCTACTCCAACTGCCAGCACGACTTCCAGGCTCCGTATCTTCTACATGGAAAATACGTCAAAGTGAGTACAAAGTTGATACTTCTCTTTCTTTCGAAAGAACAGAAGTTTTTTCTTGGCAGATTCTTTATGGTGCATGGAATTAATAAACTGTGTGTTATTGAGGCCCCATTGAGATCCTAATTATTCTCTGTTCCTTAGTGATGTGGACGCCCCTTGGGGGCTTAACGTCTGTGTCTTTTCCCTGTAGCGTGAGGTACATGTGTGCATTCCAGTGTATGCTCAGCATGGAAGGCTGGAGTGGCGAGCCTGTTGAGAGGTGGCCGTCCTGTAGAGTAGACGTGTGGTTACAGCTCTTTGTTGACCATCTCAGAGTGCCCTGTAAGCATGCCACGTGCTCAGGCTAACCTGAAGATGTGGCACTCCGTCATCATCACCACTGTGGTGCTTTTTATTGAAGAGCACAGGTTCTTAATTTTAAGTCCCACAGGAGTCTGCTGAAGTACTTGGAGAGAGGCAGGCAAGATGAGAAATGACAGCAGGTACCACCAAGGGAAGGAGTTTCTCGGTCTCCAGAGTTTCCATGTCGCAGCCTCTACCATTGCCTTGCTCAGATGACTGTCTGTCCTGGGTCTAGGTGCAAGGGTCACAGGAGGATGGGCATTCCTGGGGACAGAGGTGGGATTTATTTTCCTATCCCCAGGGCTTGCAACTTAGGGAGGCACTCAAATAAATGCAAAATGAAAGGATAAAATAAAGCGCCCAGCCTGTTAGATGGGTTGATGGCCTCAGGCTTGCTCAGATAGAATCTTACAGCAACACAGCCTTCAGCGAGGGCGTCATAGTCAGTGGATGTGTGCAGTCATTACCACGTCGACTACCCACTGAGCTAGAATCACAGCAGTGGGCCAGTGCAGGAGCCCTGAGACCCAGGCGTGGGGCCTGCTCCTCTGTGATCTTGAGTCTTTTCTTTTGAGAGTCCTATGTCCATAGGAAACAATCTATAAAACCAGGGCAATAATTTATACCTACAGCCTTATTGGGAGGACTAAGTGTGAAAGTGTTGTTAGCTGTTGAGGTCCGTATCAGTTGTAACATTGGTCACTGTCATTCAGGCCAACCAAAGAAGCGTGACTGACTTGTCCATTGTTCACAGTAACAAGTAGAGCAGAAAATATGCTACAAATGAGTGTCCTAATTCTGGTCTAAAGTAAGGCCACAAGGGTCACCGAATCTCAAACAGTATCCTACCACTGCACAGTAGCCTCTTAGACTCCACTCAAAGGCCAGCTGCCTACCCACAAATCTGTGCGTGTTTGGAGAGGGAGTTGGAAGCAGGGAGAGCTGGCCAGGTAGGAAGCCTGGCAGCCCTTTCGCAGCGCTCCAGGTCCACTGCTGGCCAAAGCTGGGGGTGGGGGTGGGGGGACAGTGCAAGGAGAGGTGCAGCTGCAGCACCAAAGCCGCTGCTCCCAGACGTCACTTTCTTGGCAACAGAGATGAACCGGGAGAGGAACTTCCGGTCTTTTAATTTTTCAAAATGTTTTCTTTGTTATAAACGGTGTTGTCATGGATAATGGCTCAGGGGTGAGTGCGTGCATATTGTACATTTAATAGCCAGGAGTCACTGTGGAAAGTATTGCTCCATTTTTACAACCTGTGGGTACCGCTCCAGAACATACTATCTGAACTTGAGTGTGTCTGGCTGCTGTCGTCCTCCATTGTCTGCGAGCAGGGCATAGTCCTAATTCAGTGCCCTTTCGACATAGTCATGTCATGGTGACTGCTTGTTGAGCACCTGGGGACTGTCCTGGACACTGTTGACTCTTTCTCCAGACCTCCCAGTAGATTTGCGAGAGAAGTTTTTATTACCCTCAGTCAGCACATGAGAAAGGAAACGTTACTTTATGTTGAGGAACGTGTCAGAGAGCTAATCATGAATGAGTAGTCACAGGTCAGTGCCGCACTGCTCCCCACCTGTGGGCTGTCCCTTGGACAGGTTTTAGGAATAGTTACTCAGGCCTGTTCACTTATTTCCCATTCTTCTCCCTCCAAGGCCCATTTTAGGAGCCTGGCAGGTGTGCCTACAGTTCTCTTGTCAGTGTTTGAGCAAACCAGGTGTGGTTTGGGGCTCTTTGCTCCTGGTCTGACCGACAGCAGCCAGTTGGGGAGGGCCGTTAAGAGCTGTCGCCTGTTCTAACTGTTGCTCTTGCCTTCCAGGAGCAGGAACAGTGACAGACCCCAGGACATCCCAGTGGGAGGAGAAGAGAATCATGTTTATTCCTCAGGAATACTGAAGTGCCCTGGAGTAAGCTGAGTTCTTCTGTAACAATGTTATCAGTAATGCTTTCAACTCCAGCACACTGTTTATGTATTTGAAACCAAGTCTGTTTCTTGTTTTGTATTTTCTCTCTGGAAATTGCAAGGAGGTGGTCTTAAAAAAATAAATTAAACAAAAATAGGCAGCCCTTTTTTTCTTTGCCTTGGGTCTCTGAGTGTGAGGAAGACAGCTGCCAGCCACAGTCACTTCTGGGCCCCACCTCTTGAGAGCCTTCCTGAAACTGCAGCCCTGTGTACTTTCCCCACTCTTCCCCTATAGCTAACCAGTACATTTTTCAGAACTGCCCCCACCTTGTTCGGGGAGCGGGGCCTGCTTTTCTGTCCTAGGGAGCCTGGGCGCGCCATGTGTTGCTCTCCGCGCTAGGCCTGAGGACGCAGAGCCGGCTTGACCTTGCCCATGGCCCTCTCTGCTGAGGCTTCCTGCAGCTTCTGAGTTTGACATGGTCCAGGCATGAGCCTGGGGCGGCTGGTGGGTGACCAATGCGAGGGCCACATTTGGGGTTGATTTATCTTCACGTAACATCTGAAGATCAGGACAAAAGGGTCGCTGTTAAAAATGCCTGGCTGAGTTTACTCCTTTGGCTTCACTTGAACCAAGGAGACTGGACACACAGTAGTAATGTCTTCTGAGAATGGGCAGACCTATCTTTCCTTTCTTTTATCTTCATAGTAGCAAGGGCCGAGGGGAGCTAGTGGATGAAGGTGAATGGTTTTGATTGTTTAATAAAGCAAGAAAAAATGGTTAAAACGCAGCACTCTGAAGAGTTCCGCAGGCACTACAGCATGGGTTTGATTCCCCGCCAGAGCTGACCCACATGGCGTGGCAGACTTCTGACACGCCTGCTGCTCCCCACAGTCTGTCTGCCTGTTCTGCTCCCCACTCTGGTGAATCCTCTCACCACCTCCCCACCCCGCACACCTCTGGCCTATGCCCTAATTTTTGTATGCATACATAATCTTTTTTTAAAAAAAATAATAAATTCAATTGGGCAGAGCTGGGTGCGCTCCTTTGGTCTGTAAATGTTGATTCCGCATCTGCCATGAACTCTCAGCACTGTTCTTAGCAGCAGAGGTGAAAACATAGCACAGACCTCTGCCTTCAAGGAGCTTAGATTCTAGTGGAAAGGTGAACCTGCCAATTCCCTCTGGACTTGAATATGGAGGGTGGAGAGGCACAGTGTGGTGAAACCAGCTAAGTCTTCTTAGGGTGCCCTGGCCGAGGAGGGGAGTTGTGGACAGAGGCCTGAATTTGACCTGGGTGTCCCAGATGGACAAAGAGGAAGAAAGGGAGCTCGTGCAGAGGCTCAGAGCCACAGCATGTGTGCTGGAAGGCATTCCGCACAGCCAGAGTGGCACGGTGGGCAGGGAGGCGGCTGTGCGCTGGGCTGGAACTGGTGTCTGAAATGTCTGTTAGATCTCAGTGCTTACAGCTGTTGTCATGGGTGGACTGAGGGTAGCAAATACCCCCTCGTTTTCCCCTCTCTCACCCTTTGTCCCTCTTCCCTTTCTGGAAAGGCACGCTGAACTCAACAAAACAGGCAGTGGCTCCTCCACCCTGCGAGCTGCCGAGGCTTCTCTGCACTGTGAGCGTTTTTGCTTCTTTGGGTCAGTGGAAGCCAGGGGAGGCCATGGACCGCATAGCCTCCTGCGCTTCCTGCCCTGCTTACTCCACCGCAGGACAACCAAAGTAATTACAGAAAAACCTTGCAACCTGTTACATCCCTTCCACTTGTATTCTCCATGTTTACTTTAAAAGTTTATATTTCCCTTCAGTTTTTCCATCTTCTTTCAGCAGGGAAAGAAAATAGTAAGTCACCTTCCAAAACAGACAAAGAGAACCCCAGCGTGCCCACTAATTCTCTAGCTGGGCCAGGGGGTGGGAGCAGCAGTGGGCTCTGGAGTCAAGCTGTTCGGTCTCGTTTGTTATTAGATTTTAGGCGTTTATTTGGATGGATCCCTTTCCCCAGCACCTTGGAAGTACCGTTTAATGTGTTTTGAGAAGCTGGTTAGCTCTGTGAGGGAATAGTTCTGGGCAAAGGCCAGCCAAAGGAAGCACTGGCTGTTTGCTTTAATTCCAAAGTACTTGGTATTCCTGCCTTGAGCTCTGCACACGGACTGGCCTGAAGCACAATGCTCGATCTTGTCCCCACTCCCTGCCCCCATTTCAAATCGGCCTCCAGAGAGTTCCAGATTGTTGGCAAAGGCATACATTCTGTTCTACTTTAAGTTTCATTAGAAATTCAAATCCTCCAGGGCCCTCATGGAGTCATGAAACTTTGCTTCTTGTCTGCCCTTCTGGAACCAAATACAAGGAAGTTCATGGGGTTGGGGAGAGAGTGATGGGAACCCACTGGGCATCGGACACTAGGATTAAGCTGTGGCGTCCCAAGAGTGGCCTGCTCTGCCAACATACATAAATGCAGACAGTCTAAGCTCGACACTGTGTAATTTGGCCCAGAACAAAATGTAGTTTGAACTCATTTAGGTGAATGACTTTGGCATTCCGTGTACCCACAGGGGCCTTTATCAGGCTGCATTTGCCTATGGGGAGGTTTGCCTTTGTTGGGCAAACTCACACTCAGAACTCACACTGTTGCACGTGATGAGGTCTCTCATCTTCCCCCAAAGGACTGGACACAGCCTGGAAATCCTGCTCACAGGCCATGAGAGGTTGGGCGTGAGGAGTTTTGCCTTTAGCTTTCTCAAACCTCACTGTTTACTTTTTTTTTTCCCCAATGTAACCAGACCATAATTACATTTTGCTTGTCATGGCTCAATCTGATGGTATTGTTAAAGGACTATTTTTGAACCTGTCCAAATAAACTCAGCAAAGTGTTTCCACAAGGGTGTCCTCCGTGGGGTGGGAACAGCCGCCTTCGTCCTGAGCGGTACTGAGACGCACACGGTTTCCTGTTGCATGCTTTCTAATTACATAAATGCGAAGGGGTGGAAGAGAGAAAGTGGAAATTCTAAGTACCCAAAGGAATGTTACATTTAGAATAACAAGCTCATCTGGAAGCTATCACCACTTTTTTTCTCTAAACTGCAAGCACCACTTCCCTTCGGACACCAAGAGATGAAGTTGGGGTGCACACAGACCTGGGCAGGAGCAGGGCAGAAGCCCCCGTGCCCCCTCAGCAGCCTTTGTGTGGAGTAAATATGAGGAGTGCTAACTCCATGAGTAAACCACCTGGGAGGAGAAGGAGGGTGAACTCTGAAGAGGGAAGGGCTGGGTGCAAGTTAAATCCCCAAACACTTGCCAGGTGAAGGTTGGGGTTCTCTGACCTCTTAAACATCAGTAGCATCTGTCTAGGAGGAAAACATAATACATCCTACTTAATGGGCTTTGAAGTCAAATACCTGTGTCGACATAAGTATTTAAAAAGCAGATGTTGCCATTTGAGCCATGGTGGATAGGGTACAGCTTATTAATGGGGAGGAAGATGAGACTTTTCCAGAAAAGAAAGGGCACCTTCCTTGGGCTCCAGGAGTCAAAAACCGCAATATCTGAGGTGAGGAGGGGTGTTGCCGATGACTTCCTGATGAAAAAAACCTAGACATTGCTGGAAAACACTGCAGCTCCATGAATAAGCATTGACGTCATTTGCCCTCACTCTTCTTCATTGGAGACCCACGCCAGTGAAGCCATTAACCTCGTGAAACTCCACACTAGCTTTTTAAAAACCAGAGTTTCTGAATGCAGGGTCTCCATACTCAGCCAGGAGGGGCGGGGGAAGGGCACTGAAGACGAAACGTAACCAGGAACTCCGCGTGGAACGTGAGGATCATGGGAAACAGGACTCAACCGTTTGCATTCAGGGCAGCCGGTTCAGTTGTGGGCTCCTCGCTTCAAGAGTTCAGGGCCAGAGATGTCAGTGGGGGAAGGCGATGTTAAGAATTCCTGGAGGAATTCAGGAGTGGGCAGGAGACGAGTCTTAACTAGGGAAGAAACCAGGCCTAGAGAAAGGAGCTCATTATCAACTGTCCGTCAACTTTCTAGGCCTGGTCGAGCCAGTCTGAGACAGGCACAGCCTCGTTTGATCACTTCAAATGAATATGTAATCATCATGTTTACTGGGCACATGTTCTGTGCCAGTTACTGTTCTGAGGTTTTCTATATATTATGATGCTTAATTTTTACAACGATCCTATGAAAGAAGTGCTATTATCCTTGTTTTATAGATGAAGAAACATTCTGAAAGGATAAATTAACTGCTCAAGGGCTAACAGGTGACAGGTGGGATATTTTTACCTGATTCTAGAACCAGATTTCACTACTGTGGTTGCAAGTGGTTATTCACAGTGGCTTGGTCTAGTTTAAATCTTACTGGACACATGAGAATTAGTCTCAACTCACTTTCTTTGAGTTTAGGAGGTTCCGTAGTGTGGTGTGGTTACCACATTCGACTGACACTTTTCATTGAAGTTAAAATGGTTAAGAACTAGTTGATCCGGGGCCTCCCTGGTGGCCTCGGGGGTAAGACCCTGAGTTCGATCTTTGGCCTGTGAGTTAACCCACAAAGGCAGCAGACACTTGTCTCTCCATCGCTCCCCTCCACGCTGTATTTCAGTCGGTTGGCCTGTTCTGCTTCCCAAGCTGTCTCTGGTGAATCCTCTCGCCCCTACACCTCTGGCCTGTACCCCCAAAATAAATATTTTTCTATGCAAAAATAATTTTTTTTTTTTTTTTTTAAGAACAAGTTGATTCAATTTGAAACCAACTTTAATACAATTCTTAGGGTCAGTAACCAAACAGTTGTCAGTCAGAGCTTGAGGTCACTGTTATGGATGAGTTTTGTTAAATCCTTGAAAATAAAGCATCGCGACATTCTGATCTGTATATCTTTAAAACTATCTTATCTATTGGCATGTCGCTCAGTGTCTGTCACTCCTGGCCTCCGATGTGTCTTCCTTCTGTATGGCTGACTGTGATGCAGAACCAGAGTGCATATTTACTCTAGTCTTTATGGTATAGTTTTATCCTTGCTATATTCTATAGCTTTAAAACCCTTAAATTAACTTGCTTTTTAAGTGGGTGGTCCTGACCCATCATTTCTATGGGTCAGTAACCTTCAGTTGGAAGAACAGCTTCCTCCGTCTTCTCACTATAGAGCATCCTCTGTTCTCATCTGAGCTTCATCCCTGGGTCACTGTAATCACGAGAAGGTCACTTGATCTCCCTGGGCCTCCTTGTGAGACGGTTGTGACAATCCCTTCCTGCTCCACGATACAAATAGGAGGTTAGCGCTCTGTTACTGAGCAGAAGCCAGCCACAGCATACTATGTTATCAGTATAATCAGTTGTGGGAAAGTTAGACTCATCTCCCACAAAGCCCTCTCAATGGTGGTATCATGTGACCAACTTTTAGACAACAGAAATAAGACCACCACCCATCCAGACTTTTTCCTCTCTGTGGTGCACTTAAGGGTAACCCAAGTTCTACTTGTTTTACCAAGAAGTCTCCTGTCAAGGAGTAGAGAAGTAATTATGATCTGTCCTTAACCTAGTGAGATACCTTCTGAAGGTAGACAGGCCACAGAAGGTACAGCACAGACCCCGCAGGTGAGTAGCCATTTCTCTTGCGCTTTGTCGAAACCTCTCCCTGAGCCCCAGAAAGTAGCCATCAACTTCTTTTTGACCTGGACCTGTGAGCTGTACAGTTCAGTAAAGGAAAGGGAGCCTAGGGGGTTTCTTTCCCCTTGCCAGATCTCTGCAGGTCTTCCAAAGGCCCCCAGCTTCCAGCCTCTGCTGCTCCCAGCAGCCTATGCTAATGGAGTACCCTGCTTCCTGATGAGAGATTTTCAGTGTCTCCCGGATAATGCCCAGAATATAGATTCAGATTACTTAAGTCAGTATTCAAGACTCCCTTTCTACATGCCCAAACCCCCCCCCCCCCCGCCATGGGGTTCGAGAGGGACTAAGAGCCAGGACTCTAGCTAGGCTTTGGGGGTTTGAATCCCAATTCTCACATTTATTTGCTATAGGCCTTGATAGTTACTTACTCTGCCCTTGCTTCAGTTTCCCCATCTAAATGGGGACAGTGATGATTATACCCACCTCAAAAGGCTGCTGTGGGGATTAACATGAAATTCCCTCTGACAGTGCCTGGTCTATGGTCATGCCTAATCGTCCCCTCCCTGATTCTCCAAGAGCGGCCAGTGGTAAAACAAATTGGATTCTGTCAGGCATTCCCTGCACCAGACCATTCAAACTTTTCTCCCATATGGAGAAAATGTCAAAAGTCAGTTCAGTGGACTCCAGATCCCGGATGAGATCCAGGCCTCCGGGTTCCCATCTGGGGTTGACTCCACCAGCCTCTTCCCTGGCTCCTCAGGGCACAGGCCTACCTCAGGGCGTTTGTACCTCCTGGCCTCTGCTCAGGTCACGCCTCCTCAAAGCCTTCAAGTCTTTCCTCAGTTGTCTCCTCCTTCCTGGGCCTTTCCTGTCCTTTCTCCCATACCTTCTAACCCTCTTCCCCTGATTGATTTTCTCTGTCATTTCTCAATACCTCCATCTTTACCTATATATGTTAATGGTTGTCCCCCACTAGAATGTTTTCCGAGGGCAGAAGTTTATGGATTGCTGGGTTTTGGTTTATTTGTTTTGTTGCTGTACCCTTGCCATTTGAACAAAACCCGGCGTGTAGTGGGCATTCAAACTTGGCTGAGAAACAAATAGTATATTAACTATTTTAATAAAAATCATTCCTAGAACACATTTTCATAGGGATGACAAATCTGTTCAAACAACAGAGTTCCATCTCACAAGCCAAATGTACTGATTTGCTGGTGGCTGCCTAGAGGAACTCACAAGGGGGGCTCTGGGGCTCTTTGTGGCCGATAAGGACAGTTACAGGAATTGGGGTCTGAGGGCCATGTGCTAGTCAAAGATCAGTCTTACTTGTCCCTCTCATAGTCGGTCTGCCTTCTCACCTCTCCCGTCTGCTTATTTCTCACCCACCTTTCCCATCCTCTCTGGCAAGGCTTCCGGAGCCCCCGGGCCCTCTCTGAACGCCTTGGCCCTCATGGCTGGGCAACGTCCTTGGCAGTTAGCTTCTCCTTTGCTCTGCAGCTTCTCGCTTGTGTGTCTGCCCTTTTCCTGGAAACAGGCCTCCTGCCTTCCATCTCCACTCCTGAGGCTGTGTTGACACTTAGGAAGTAGGGGGAAACAAAACCATTGTTTTAGTTAAGACTTTTGGGGAAGTAAAGTAACAAACTTTCAAATCAGCCTGGAGATTGTAAAATACTGAAGAAGCCCTTGGGCCCGGGACAAAACGCTGCAGGCAAGTACCAACCCCCCTCGGCTTGTTGGCCAGAATTCTGCCCTTCCTGTGACTCAGCACCCCAGCACTGCCCCAATGCCCCTCAGCTCAGATTCTTCAGAGAGAGACGCTGCCCTGCTGGCCCTGACCAGTCGTGCTCCCAGGAGGGCAGGTGGGTGGACAGCAAACTTGGCCGCTGGGCTGTGTCCTTCATGGGCGTGCTGGAGGCCATTCTCATGTGGGGAGTGGGGCAGAGCTGGGTCGCTTCGGTGCTTGTCTTTTCTCCAGTGCTCAGGCTACAGAAGAAGCGCTGTTCCCATGAATTTAAGTGGAGCACAAAATCCTAAGGGAAAAGCTGTGTCGTGGGATATTGAAGATGTGCTGAACTCTTGTGGAAGGAGAGAAGGTCTTAGCCCACTTGCTCATGGGTGTGGAGGCTGCTGGGACCTGAGAAATGGAAGATGGACGTAAAGAAATTGATCTTCCCTGCTGCCATGGCCGTCTGGCTTACCATCTCCACGGGCAGCAGGGCATGGGCGCTGCCGAGGCCCTCTCCTGAGAGCCCAGCACATGCAGGCAGGCGGCTGTCCCCGTGGGGTTAGGCAGTCCAGCCCAAGAACCCGAGTATTCCAGCCCATGGGACATGGGGTGACAGAGCATGGTGAGTGGCTGAGACAGCTGCTGCCCGATTCCTGCTCGCGCCAGCCTGTCTTCAGATGAGCAGGCAGCTGTCACCACTGGAATGGGAAAAGGATGAAGCCTGGAGTCCCTTATTCAGTTTACATTTCCACTCCAGGGCCTCCCTGGTGGCACAGGGGTCAAGTCTCAGCAGTCTCAAGCTACCACCAGCCCCTGTGGCAAGAGTTCCATCCCCAAGTTCCATCCTGAGCCAGGGAGCTGACCCACATGGCACAGCAGACCTCTCCTGTCCCACCTGCTGCTCCCCTCAGCAGAGGATTTCAGTCAGTCTGCTGTTCAGTTCCCCACTGTTTCTGGTGTCTTCTCACATACCCCCACCTCTGACCTACACCCCAGTTCTTGTATGCATAAATAATTAATCTTTTAAAAATATAATTTTCCTCTCCAAAATACCCAGAATTTCATTCTCATCTTTGACCCGTCTTCTCCTCTCACTTCCCCCATTCTTAGCACTGGATGCTCGTCTTGGTTCTTGAAGACGCCATCCTACCAAGGGCATTTAAAACTTGTCCTGGCCCAAGGGCCCTCCCGCAGGCACCTAGGCTCCATTCCTCCCTGCAATTGGCCAAGGCCGCACCTGCCACGCCCTTCCTGTTCCTCAGACCCTACAGCCTGGCCACCTTCTCATTCCACTCAGCCTGCCAGGGACTGGAGGAGGCCCAGGACATGGCTGAGGGTGGACCCAAAGTCAGCTATCTCCTTCTGCTCCCCCTGTACTGAGTGGCTGAGTGAGCCTGGGAGACCCTTGGACTGGGGGCACAGGGAGGACCAGATAGTGGCAGCTGTACTTCCGAGTGTGCCCCAGCCAGACTCTGCCTCAGGCACATGCCGGTAGTGAATTATCCCAGCAGCCTGCAGTGGGGACTCTTTCTGTTCCTCCTTTGCAGATGAGGAAATTGAGGCTCTATGAGGAAGGCGAGAAGGCTTGTGGCTTGGGACTCTGCTTCCCTGCCTCCCTTTGCTGTACAAGAGCCTCCTTGAACGAACCTTCCTTCTCTGGGGCTATTTTCCAGAAACCACGCTGAGCCCGGGCCTCCATTTGTCTCTTTGCATCCTGGTCACTTCTTTAGCCCTGCTTAGTTTCTCTCTCTCTTTTTTAATATTTAATTTTAATATATGGCACAGGCCAGAGGTATTGGGACTATGAGAGGATTCACCAGAGACAGGGTAGAACAGGCAGATGGACGAAGTACACTGCTGAGGGGAGCAGCGGGCAAGACAGGAGATGTCTGCTGAGCTCTATGGATCACCCCCAGGGCTGGGGATCGAACTTGCACTGGGGTGGCTGTGGCTAGTTTGCAGTGCTTCCTCCTTACCTGTTGTGCCACCAGGGAGGGCGGGTTCTTAGTTTCTGAACACTTGGATGTCAAATGTTGAGAGAAAGTCGTCCATGCACGTTTGGGCTTGCTGCCTCCCTAGTCCACTGTTATGTCCCTAACACCTCTGTCCCGGCTGACACATACATAATACGGTAGAATAAAGACTTGTGCAAGGAAAGAAATGTGACCCATCCACAGCCCCCAGTATCCCCAGCTGCGTTTTACAGGTCAGGAAACCTCGGCCCAGAAAAGCGACAATTTTGCAAAGTCCCAGAGTCAGTGGGTGATGAAGCAGGAACTCAAACCCAAGCCGGACAATTCCAGACGCTCCCAGGATGAGTCCTAATAATGGCTTCTTCTCGCTTTAAACGGAGCGGTGTAGACACTCTTGTTCTTTCTCTCCCGGAGGCAGGAAGGAGTGCGGTTCTCCAGCCTCAGTGCCAGCCCCGTGACCCCGCGGGCTGCGCGGGGAAGGAAGCCCCGTGCTTGTTTTCCCTTTCTCCTGGAGAGTGCAGAGGTTTGGACCCCTGTGGAGGCCAGGCTGACAGGATTAGAGGAAACAGCTGGCCCGCCCGTGCCCTGCAGGGGGCGGGGGGCGGGGTGGGAGCTCACATTCCCGGGACTCGGGGAGGGAGCGGCTCCCCACAGCTCAGTCACATTCCAGGTCGGTCATTTTCCTGAGCCCAGATGTTTGCTAATGAGCTGGAGAGAGAGGTTTTCAGCCCTCTACCCCGACTCTGGGGCCCCACGTTACCCGGCCCCAAGAGGCTGGCCCAGAGCCAGCAGGCTCTGGCTTCAGGCCCGTGCCCGGTGCCAGCCAGGCCTGTCGGGGCAGCTGGAGCACCGCTGCCAACCAGGTGCATCTCCGTGAGCTTCCAGGCCCTGACGCGGCAGGTTCTGCCTTCCCGCTCCCCGTGGTGCGGCACCCATCACAGCTGCCCATGGCAGGACAGAGGGTTGCTGGCAGAGCAGCTGAGAGGCCCAGGTTCCGGGCAAGGCTTTGTCAGCCACTGGCGTGTGGCTTGGGGATGGCTACACCGGGAGCTTCCTGCAGACAGCTGCCCCCATCCTGCCCGGGCCACACTGCGAAGAGGGGTGGTCAGCTAAAGGCCACACTTTCTCAAGTGTCCACTGCTCCTGCACGGTGAGTCCAGGCTCTGTCCATGGTCACCCAGCGGGGGGGGGGGGTCACTTCTTACTGGGTAACCTTAGCCAGTTATTTAACTTCTCTCTAGGTTTTTTTTTTTTTTTTAACTTATAAAATGGGGGTCACATGCTGGAGCATTAGGGTGCTTGATGGTGGGGCCTGGCATGGTAACACATCCAGAGAGGTATGACCCTAAAACCCCAAGCCACATACAGTGCGTTAGCCAGTTATTGCGATAAAATGATACAATAAAAAAATGGGTGAACAATACCTTTTTATATCATCGATTTACAGTTATTGGAAAGTGCTCAGAATGGGGGGTGCTCCCCATGTGGGGCTGTGATGATGTCATAGTTGCCCTGTGGAAAGTTAGCTAAGCCAGAGGATGACAAGTTCCTTCAGTCAAGTGAACTGTACCCTCTGTCTGGTCCCACCTTAAGCCCTGGGAACTGGGAAAGAAGCAGGTGATCTTTGCCCTCAGGGAGCCCAGGATCTAGTGGCCAAAAGATGCGTGCAGGAGGAAATGAGCGAACAGCGTTATGCATCCCCGCCTCAGGTCACTCAGGGGAGTGGCAAGTCCGTGCCCTGCCCGGAAGGCCTTCAGTGGGTGCTGGAAGAATGGCTCTGTGGGAAGATGGAAGTAAGGGAGAGAGCAGCATAGGCAGAAGCTAGGAGGCCTGCAGGCGCCGTGCTGTGGCCCAGGAGCCTGGACAGGCCTAGTTGGTGTGGCTCTCAGCAGGCCAGGAGCAGCCACCACGAAGCTCTGCACCCTGGTGACAGCAGGGCTTCGAGCACAGAGAACGCACACTGCGAGAGAAAGTAAACCTAGCCTCCTGGCGACGTCTCCTAGGTTATTTCCAGGGGCAAAGCTATTTTCTCACTCCACTGGACTCGGGGAACCCAGAGGGCACCATCTCCATCCACCCAAGTGCCCGCAGTGCCGACTCATTGGTTGGGCGAGGCTCGGTTTGGGCTGGGTCCTCTTCGCAGGAGCCAGCGATGTGAGTCTCTTTCCTGGCGCTTATTCTGAATAGTCCTTTCTGGGGCTCCCACATCCTTTTCTGGACGCTTAAGCCAAACGTCTGGGCCGAGAGGAGCTGTGCGAGTGTCCACTGACTTAGGGTACCGAGAGCAGGGAATTGAGCTGGTCGTGTGCCCTGGAGCGCTTTGGTTGGGCGAAGCACCTCAGAGCGGAGTGCAGACCGACGCCTGGCTCCAGGCCACGGAGGACTTGAGCGTCACACACTGGGCGCAAGTTCCCGCAGAAAGGAACACCTCCCTTTCTGACGCCGTCCCTGCGCCCCCAGGCCTACCACGGCCTGCAGACCCCGTCTTGGGAAAAGTCGGGGGAGAGAAGTCGGAGCGCAGAGGAACCCGGCGGAGGGCGCTTTAGAACGAGCCGGGGCGCGGGCGCTGTGCCCTGCCCTTAGGGCGCCGGGCTGGGCCACCCCAGCAGCTC